GAAGGAAGAGAACAGCCGACACCGCAGGGGGGGTGGGGGCGTCCTCCTGTCTGGAGAGTCTGGAAGTTCGGGCTGCGCGCTCCGGGTGCTATAAAGAGGCTGCGGAACCGGCAGGAAGTCCCGCGCGCTTTCCCCGCTCCCGGTGACGTGCACGCGCACGACGCTGCGCCAGGTGCCAGCGGGCGGCGTCCAACCGCTGTCGCTAGGCCCCAAGCCCACGCGCGCCGCTCCGGAGGCCAGTGCTGGACCAAGGACCCGAGGACTGGAGCAAAATGAAAACCCGCTTTGTGCCTCAAGCCAATCTCTGCGCGGCTCCCTCTGATGGCATTAGGAGCAGCAGCCGCGACGGCGCTCACGGGGGCGCAGAAGTCCCTGCTGGCTTTGATCTGCGCCTCTCGGCTGCGGAGAGCTGACAGTCGGCTGCGTGGCAGCCCCGCTTCCACTTGTCAGACACGCGTTTCCTAGTGTTCCGGAGCAGGAAGCTACACCTGTACTGCGGGAATTTACATCGCCTAGCTCCGGGACGGCATTGATTTGGGACGGGTGAAATACAAACACAAACTAATTAAAAACTGCATAATGGAGCCCTGCAGGAACACGGTAGAAAAACAAATAAATACAAGTGCGGCTGGCGCTGCGATTGTACCATTGCCCCCGAGCAACCGTCTAGTGACATTAAATTATAAACCCAGAAACTCCTCACACCGTTGCTGTTGATCATATTGGAGGACTAATGGAAATGGCCTGGTTAATTAAGGGGAGGTTTATAAAATATTTACGTGTGTGCACACGCATGTAATTCACTTCCTCCGACACACGTGCGCGGCGACCTCGCGGCACTCCAGGCCGGGCCATTTCTCTACCCTGAGATGGTGGGAAACTCAGGACGGCTCCGGAGGCCCCGGGGCGCTGAGTCCCCACGCCCTTCAGGCCCGCGCTCTGCACTGCCCGCCGGGCATCCCGCCTTCCCATATCCCTCGCTTCTCGCCTTCTCCTCCCCGGCTTTCCTGGAGTGCCTCCCCCTCACCCTGGGACGCTGCAGCCTCACGCGCTCAGGGTGCCACTCTCAGGGGGCTGCTCTCGGCCCCCCGCGTGGGCCCGGCCTCGGCGCGGCAGGATGGCGCAGGAGGGGCACCCAGGGGCCAGGGGCGACAGGGTCGCGGGACCGCCGCAGCCCGCCCAACCCCGTCCCTCGCCTGGCGCCCATCAGCGCACGGGTTACAGCTGCGCGCTGCCGCACAGCTCTCGGCCACGGGGGGCTGTTTGACACTCGCCTTGCTGTCGCTGAGTGGAGGAGTGGCTTCCTGGGTCCCGGTGGAGAAAGGTGCAAAGCCCTAATGAGTATTTAACAACGCTCATAAATCAGGACGCGCGTCGGGGCGGAGGGCCTGGCGCGTGAGCCCCTTTAGACCGGCGGTGTGCACAGCCCAGAATGGACGTTTTGAAAGGCAGGCGACGAGGCCGCGGCGCCGCCCACAGCATCCCATTTGGGAGACCGGTCTGCGTCCTCCTCGTCCTTGGCTCAAAAGGCAGGCCCCCCAGGATGGCCCCTCGGAGTGGGCCGGTTCCCTCCTCTTCTTCACAGACCCAGGTCGGCAGAGCTTCACCATCAGTGGGTGTACAGTCATAAATGAGGATGCGGTTCAGTTTAATTTCATCCTTACATAAAGGTGCTGAGTTGGGGTAAGGTCGTGAGACTGCACGTTTCTGAAGGGCTGGCGATTTTCAGAGCGGTGATAGCGAGTCCCTTTTGTTCAGACACCCCCACCCTCCAGTTTAATAAGCAAGTAAACTTTCCATCAGGCCTGAAGACCAGAATCAAAATCAACTTGGTTCACAAGCGCCTTGCTCAGCAACCCTCCCTCCACCCGCCCCCACGCCCCGGGGCCTTCCCCCACAGAGCCCAGTCCCTCCCCAGATGTGTCGGAGGCACACGTTTTAGCGGGGACGCGCCGAGAGTCCGGACTTTCCCTCCAGAGGGTCCACTTCAACACCGCGGGGTCGCGCTGGCGACTGGAGCCAGCTGCCGCGGGTCACGGGAGGGATCCTTCCGGAGCGCTGGTCTCCCGGACCCAGGCAAGACGCCGACCCGGCGGAGCTCCGCCTCGGGGGCGCAGCGACCCCTAGGTCTGGCTTACAGCTCTCCTCGGCTCAGCGACGATGGGGCGGCAACAGAGAGCGGGGGCGCTCTGGCTTGGCGCGGCCTCCAGAGCAGAGGGGTTCGCCTGCCTGAGCCACCCTCTTGCGAGGCGGGGGCCGTGGCTGAAGGTCTGAGAAGCGGGCCGCTCCACACTTGCAGATTCTGAGCAGCACAACCCAGGGCCGTCGGTTTTCGAAGGCCGGCCCAGTGGAGCCCCCAAAGCCCAGGGGCCGCCCACGACCAGGCTCATCTCTGTCTGCCCTGGGCATACCGTCCCGCCCCCAGAAGGCCTGATCTAGTTAGTGAGCTGGAACAGGCTTTCTGGGGAAAGTTCTGGACCGGTATTAAATCAGGCCCAAGGTCTTGGGACAGTGTCCCTCTAGACCCACTGGGCACCTTGCCTTCCTAAGCCCCAACTCATCATTTGGTGTTAAAAATGAGTAGAGGACACTCCATAAAGTTCTGGATCCTTCTCTGCCCCTCCCCCTTTCCAATGGGGTTTGGAGACTTTTGTTTTTTTGGTTTGTTGCTTCCTAAGTTTCTACGTGTAACTTTTTGGGTACAGGCCAAGGAGAAAGAGGGGAGGCAAGCCAGGTTTGCTGGCATCTCAGCCCTTGGCCCTGGGCAGAGAACCGCCAACAGTGAAGGCTCCTACACCTTTCCAGAAATCCCTGGGGGCATCCACAGGCCTTTCTGGTTCCAGTTCCCCCAGATGCCTAAGCCTCTGGCATGGTTTCCAGGAGGGCTCTTCCCACTTACCCCGCTGGTGTCTTCTGGAACCTACATTCAGGACCTGAATGGACACCATCAGGCAGGGCACCCAGGAGTGGCCTTGCTGGGCTGTGTGAGGCTCAATAAAAAGCCAATGCCCACCCCATGCCCTCCCCGGTTTCTGATAGCTACCCTGTGACTGTAGTCAAGGTGGACTGCTGCTGGTACAGAGTGGGAAGGTCTGATCAGTCCCTGTGGCTGAATCCTGACACTGAGAAGTTCTCTGTGCTTACATTCCACCTCCCTCTCCAGGTCACACAAGAGGGCTTATCTCACCTGTATTTACCTGTCACCCTGAAATGTGATACTGGAGTTTGGTAAACAGGACAGTGGTGGGGCTGGCTCACTGGTTTGTTTTGGATGTAGGAGAGAGGATGTTTGCTGTGAGGGGTGGTGAGCTGGGGAGCAGGGGCAGCTGGCCTTGGGGACCTCGGGAGTGCTGAGTGCCACCTCTTGTGCCCTCAGAATCTGTCAAAGCAGGAAAGGAGCCCGTTGCAGGGAGTTTCTGGAGTGAGAAGGCTGATTAGGTGCAGGAACAGGTAGGGGAGGGAAGGCAGCAGGAACGAAAGACCTGACTCAGCAGAGAAATGAAAGCCTGATTAAGACCAGGTAATGAGTAATCACTATTACTGAGTTACTGTTGCTAATTACAGGTCTTGGCTCCTTGTCTGTCCTCAGGCCTCAAGACGCAACGGGAGCCTTCCGGATGCAGCCTGCAGTTCCTGGGCCCCAGTGATCCTGGCAGCTGGAGGGGAACCCGGGGGATGGGGGTCTGTGGGCATCCAGGGACATCCACACAGCATGCGAGGGACCCCCTGGGGCCAGAGGGTAGCCTCAGTCCCGCAGCCTCAGCAGGCCCAAACCTAAGCCCAGGATCCCAGTCCGTTGATGAATCCCGTGGGGTCCTGTGTGTAAACGTCCCCAAAGGCAGTGCACCCAAGCTGAGATGGGGTGCAAAGTGGTCCTGGGAGCCCAGGCGGAGACCCTGGGCTCGCTCCATTCCTGAGTCGCCAGGACCAAGCCGGAGAAGGCAGCGCAGAAGCGGCCTGCCCGAGCTGTCCCAAGCACAGGGAGGCGAGGAGAACCGTGCATCCGGCGTCTGCGCCGTAGCGCGGCTAAGTCCCTGGCGGCCGAGCCAACCCCGGAGCGTGGCTCCCGGCCGCGTCCGCTCCCTCTTCTTGCCGGCTGAGTATGGAGAGAGGAGAGGGAAGGGGGAGCCGCCTCTACCCGGCGCACTCCACTCGTCCACTTCCTGCATTTGCGCATCTAGCGGACAAACGGGGGGGGGGGGGCGCCCAGGCCCCGCTGGCTTCTCCCATCGCCGGGGTGGGGGCAGAATGTTGCCCTTCCTCCGCAGTAGTGCGTTTTCTGCGAAGAAAAGTCCCTCCTGCCCGCAAGAACTCTCCACGGTAGACTGCATCTGCTGCCCTTTCTCAAAGTTTTCACAACTGTAGAAGCTGGCAGAGCTCAGTCGCTTCCCGCTTCTCCAAGCTTAGAGAGGTTGATCATCACTAGATGACATGTTAATACGTAGTGGGGGGCACGGGCAGCCTCGCCTGCGTCGGGGAGTCACAACACTCCAGGCTTCGTGGCGCACCGAGTGCTCCGAAGTGCGCTTCTGCCAAAGATATCCGGGTAAGGCCAAGGCAGCGCAGACCTCGGAGGGGAGGCCGCTCCTCGCTGCTGTCGCCGTGCCCAGGCCAGCCCCTTCCCCACAGCCCCAACGGCGGAAAAGCCAGCGCCGGGATGTTTTTTTCTGAAAGCGCAGACACACCTCAGCTGCGCAACCGCAAACCCCGGTGTCCGACAGTTGCAAACCGTTGCACACAGGTTGTCAGACTGCCGTGCGGGCCACTGGGTTAGGGGCCGCGGCCGCCGGGCCCGCACCCGCCGCCGGCCCGCTCGCGCGCCCACCCGGGGCGGTGGTGGCCGGGCCAGAGTGGAGCACCACGTGCTCGCCGGGAGGGGCGGGAGCGGCCGGCGAGGACGGGCGGGAGGCAGGGAGCGGGCGGGTGGGGAGCCGGGGGCGGGGCCAGCGCTCAAGGGGATGCCAATCAAAGCATCAACTTCAAATTGAGTCTGAAGCCCCGCCGCCGAGCGGAGGGCGGCCGCCGCAGTCGGCGCGGAATCGCGGAGCCGGGCGCAGCCGGGAGCCGGGCGCCAGCGAGCACCGGGCCGTGGAGCAGCCACCGGCCCCCGCCTCCGGGCCGGCCCGAGCGCGCCCGGCCGGCTGCCCGCTGCCCCCGCCGCGCCTGGCCAACCCCCGCCCCGCGCCTCCCTCCGCGCCCCTTTAATACTTGCCCGCCGCCGCAGCCGCCGCCACCGAGTCCGCGGACATGTCCTTCCCGCAGCTGGGCTACCCGCAGTACCTGAGCGCCGCGGGGCCCGGCGCCTACGGCGGCGAGCGCCCTGGGGTGCTGGCCGCCGCCGCCGCCGCCGCGGCCGCCGCCTCGTCGGGCCGCCCTGGGGCGACGGAGCTGGGCTCGGGCGCGGGCGCGGCCGCCGTCACCTCGGTGCTGGGGATGTACGCGGCGGCCGGACCGTACGCGGGCGCGCCCAACTACAGCGCCTTCCTGCCCTACGCCGCCGACCTCAGCCTCTTCTCGCAGATGGTGAGTGCGCCGGCCTGCAGCGGCCTCGCCCCGGCGTCCCGGAGCCCCGGGCGCGGGGGCGGGAGCAGCGCGGGCGGAGCGGCCGGCGAGGCACGGGAGAGGCCCAGCCCGGGGGGGCCGTGGCGGCGGGGCCTCGGGAGCGCGGAGCGGCCGCCGGCCGGCCTGCCACGGTCACGCCACTCGGCCTGGGAGGCGGGAGGCCCGGCCGCGCAGGGTTTCTCGGGGGGCGCTGGGCGGCCGCAGGAGCAGGCCCGGGGCGCGCGGCCGGTGCTGCAGGCCGGGACCAAACTGCCGGCACCTCAGCTCGGGCGAGGCGGCGAGGCAGCGGACGGGGCTGCGGCAGCCGGGGCGGTTTACCGGGATTCCCCTGCCCGGCCCGCAGCCTCGCTCGCTTCACCTTAGGACTGGGCCGGGCAGGCAGACCGGCTTTTCTCCTTTTTTTTTGTTTTTGGCGGCGCTCATCTAGTTGTATCTGACTGCTAAAAGGAACCCTTTAAAGCCTAGGAGAGGCGGTCAAAATAAACCTAACAATGGAGCTCGGACGGGCCCAGAGGGGTCTCTTGATGGCGTGTGTGCAACTTTGAGATTTAGGGGAAAAAATAAGTTGAAATGATCTTTGGCGTCTGAAAAGGCGTTTGCTAGACTTTCCTAAGTTGCCAAAGTTTTCATTTCATTTGCACCGAGAGAAAAGCACTTTCTTGCCGCGTTACATCACGGAGGATTAGAGAAAACAGTGTCCCTGGGCTGAAAATAAATGGTGTCCGCTTGGTCTCCCGTTCCAGTGGGTGTCAGATCGGGGAAGGAGGCCGCAGGTTTAATTCTCCGCGGGGACCGGCCTGTCTTTCGTTCCCAAGGATCCATTTTCCTTGGTCTGACTGCAATGCAAGGTCGGGCTTAGACTTCGGGCTGCTGGTGAATCGCGCGCTGGGCTCGGGGCGGGGAGGCAGCCAGTCCCGCGTGAGCTGCTGCCTACGGCATAAGGCAAATTGCAGGCACTCCCCCTCCCCCCATGACCCCTTCCCCTGCCGAAGAAGAGACAGAAAACAAATACCCGCCAGCTGTACCCGTGCAAAGCGGCTGGTGTCTTTTCCTGTAACTTTTCCTTGTAGTTTTGAAAAGAAAGCCTATTCCTCTGATAGCGGCTCCAGCTGCCTTTCAGATCGTTTGCTATCGAAAACGATGAGCTCCCATTTTGTTCGGGCGGCCGGGATGCCGAGGAAGCGATGAGAGATTTACAAGGTGTCCTTTCCAAAAGAATTCCTAGCAGAGAGGAGACCGAAATGTCTTACTTAAAATTACAACTGAATAAGCAGAAAAGTGCAAAGTACTTTGCAAAAATGAGGCAAAAACGAAATCTGGCCAGGGAAGCCTTTTCTCTGTGGCAGCGACTACCGAACTATTTGGTCAAAGAAATCTTTTGGTGTTTACAAGTTTCTCAGTCTGGACCCCTCCTTTACTAATAGCAACTAGACAACTGTGACATGGAGGACTATAATTTTTTACAGAAATTTTGAATACAGATGTATGCCGTTTGGGAAACGCGGGTGTTTGTGGTGGGGAGAGGGAACTGTTCGGTGAGGAGGAGCCCCTACTGCCGAGAAGAAGATGCTTATTTTTTGCTGGGGGTAACTGTACCCCCTGCACCCCAAAAAAGGTGTGGGTTTCCTAGTGGTCTCCAGCCGGTTCTTGGAAATTAAGCCTAAACCCAAACTTGGATTCTAGGCCTAGCTTCCAAGTCATTATGATTGGGAATTTGGAAGTCAAAAGGTAAAATTGGGCGTGAATGTCTGGCCAGGCAATTTATGGTAATAATGAGGCCTAATTAGGTTGTTAGAAAGATAAAATGTTACTTACCAAAAACCTGATGGGATAATTTGACTCGCTGTGTTTTACTACCGATGATAAAAAGAATATTGATTGCAAATAAATCACGGCCTCTAAATGCCTGCAAACAGTTTGTGCTTGCTTGCTCCAGATCAAAGTCAAACTTGAGAGATAAAGTAACCGAAGAGGCGTAGGAAACCGGTTCTGCTCCTTGCAGCCTGCCACTGCGGGCCAGGCGTTAATATTTTACCGGATAAGCACTCCTTTTGTATTTAAAAAAAAAACACGGTGTTTTTGTTATTGTTGTCATGATGGCCAGGATTAAAATTTTAAATTACCTGTCACCACTATAGACCTTTAAGTGTGGGCGAGCTATTATATGCAGATCAATTTGGGAGCTAAAAGGAGTGTGCTTTCATTTTGAATTGCTGGTGGATTTGGACCTGAAGAAACCACGCAATGGTTTATTTTGTTTGACCCCCTCAGGGTCGAAGGGAGGGGGCTTGTGCTCTGGGTTCCTTTACGTTTGGAGAAAACCGTTTTATCAGTGGAGTTAAAAGGTTTTCCCCTCTAGCTAGTGTGAGATAAACTTGGAAATCCGGGCTTCGGGATTGGGGGTCTGGGTAGAGGTGGGGGATGGGGGAGGCCTGGGGAAATTCTAGCGGGCCGCGGCTCCCGCCGTGGTCTTCTTAAAGATGCATAGATTCAGGAACTTTTCTTGGGTGACAAAAAAGCCCTCCGTGATCCGTGGAGGCGCCGTTCCCGGAGGAAGCACCCGGTTCTGACCGCACTCTTACTCCCCGGGTGGTGCACCACGAGGCCTTCCTGTTCCCCAGCAGATAGGAGCTGCGCCCGGCCCGACTTTCCCAGTTTTGGGGACTCACCTCTCTCTCTTTTTCCGCCTCCCCCCTCTGCCCTCTCCCTCCACCTCCGCCCTCTCTCTCCACCCTTGCTGGGTCCCGCGGCTGCAGGGCTCACAGTATGAACTCAAGGACAACCCCGGGGTGCACCCTGCCACCTTCGCGGCCCACACGGCGCCGGCCTACTACCCCTACGGCCAGTTCCAGTACGGGGATCCCGGGCGGCCCAAGAACGCCACGCGCGAGAGCACGAGCACGCTCAAGGCCTGGCTCAACGAGCACCGCAAGAACCCGTACCCCACCAAGGGCGAGAAGATCATGCTGGCCATCATCACCAAGATGACCCTCACGCAGGTCTCCACCTGGTTCGCCAACGCGCGCCGGCGCCTCAAGAAGGAGAACAAGGTGACGTGGGGCGCACGCAGCAAGGACCAGGAGGACGGCGCCCTCTTCGGAAGCGACACAGAAGGCGACCCCGAGAAGGCCGACGACGACGAGGAGATCGATCTGGAGAGCATCGACATCGACAAGATCGACGAGCAAGACGGCGACCAGAGCAACGACGAGGAGGACAAGGCCGAGGCGCCGCGCGCGCCCGCAGCCCCTGCAGCCCTTGCCCGTGACCAGGGCTCGCTGCTGGCGGCGGCCGATGCGCTCAAGCCGCAAGGCTCGACCCTGGGCCTGGCCAAGGAGGCCCCGGAGCCCGGCAGCACTGGCCTGCTGAGTTCCGGGGCCGCGGCGGGAGGCCTGCAGAGCGCGCCGCACAGCAAGCCCAAGATCTGGTCGCTGGCCGAGACGGCCACGAGCCCCGACGGCGCGCCCAAGGCCTCGCCGCCGCCCGCGGGCCCCCCGGGTGCGCACGGGTCCCCCGCGGGCGCGCCACTGCAACACCCCGCGTTCCTGCCCAGCCACGGACTGTACACCTGCCACATCGGAAAGTTCTCCAACTGGACCAACGGCGCTTTCCTTGCGCAGGGCTCCCTGCTCAACATGCGCTCTTTCCTGGGAGTGGGCGCGTCCCACGCCGCGCAGCACGGCCCGCACCTGCCCGCGCCGCTGCCACCGCAGCCGCCCGTCGCCGTGGCCGCGGGCGTGCACCACGGCGACAAGGCCTCCGCCCGCAGCAGCCCCGCGCTCCCAGGTACAGCGCAACCCCGCCCTGGGCCCCGGGTCTGGCGTGAGGGTGGGGCGGCACCCGGGCGGGGGCGTCCGGGGCTGAACAATTAGGCGGCGAGGCCGAGAAGTTGCGGCGCGGAAGGCGCTGCTTCGCTCGGGGCCTGCCTGGGGAGGGCAAGAGGGGGAGGCTGGTTCCTCGTGAAGACGAGCCCCAGCAGAGGGAGGGGAAGTGGGGAGGGGGCATTAGCGCCTCTGCGGCACCCCCCACCCCGAAACTTCTGCCTCCTCTCCTCCCTCGTAGAGAGAGACCTCGTCCCCAGGCCCGACTCTCCAGCACAGCAGCTAAAGTCGCCCTTCCAGCCAGTGCGCGACAAGTGAGTGCCTCCTCCCTTACCACCGGGCTCGGGGAGGTGCGTTTGGGCGGTGGGGTCGAGCAGCCGCTGCCGACCGGGTGCTTTCCACCTGCCCTGCGCGGGGCCGGCGGACTCCCCAGAGCTTCTCTCCAGCCGGGAGCCGGGCGGGCGGTCCCGCGACGCCGGGTCCTTGTGTCCGTCCGCCGCCAGGGCCTGAGCATCCTTGTCTCCCTGTGTCTCCCTGCAGCTCGCTGGCCCCGCAGGAGGCAACGCCACGGATCCTAGCAGCCCTCCCGTCCGCCTGATTCTGGGTGGCCTTTCACTTTTGCGGGGGGAGGGGGGAGGAGTTCGGGAGGGAGGGGATGAGGGAGGAATGAAGACAAATATTTCAGACTGGTGTAAAGGACAAACACCACTAGGACATCGAATCCATACATCGCTTTCTGCAGAAGGGGCTCGTCCCGGCCGAGCTCGCTTCCAGGCCGCCTGGCCTCCGCCCCCTCCGCTATGGTGGCCGTCACCTTGGTCCGACTGATTATCGGTTCGGTAAATGCCTCCACGTGCTTGTGTCTTTTCCTCTTTCTTTCTTTCTGTCTCTTTATTCTTTTTCCTTCTTTCTGTACATAGAGTGATTTCAGATTGTAAATAGCGCGTCGGCAAACTTGTCTAAATCATATATTTTTGTCTAATAAACTAAGTGAAATGCCCACTGCTGCTGCTGCTGTGTGTGGCCGGGTGTCCACGGGGTGTCCCGACTCCGGAATCCTCGCAGCGCCCCGGAGTCCCGGGCAAAGGCTCCTCCGGGAGTCTCCACCGAGGAGGCCGGGGCATCTGTCTTTTGGTTGTTGAATTTGTTAATGTCACCAGGTCGGTTTCTCGTTGGCAGTTTAATTCTTTCCAACTCTTACACATTTATCTGGGCCACATCTTTCTCAGGAAATAAATGAGTTCCATCTTTGGCAGTGTATAAAACGATTTCGTGAAGTGGGCAGCAATGGGGAAAAAAATGACAAGAATCTCCAATCGTGTCCCCTGAGGAGAACCTTCGGATTTGAAATCAATCTGAGTGTTGTTGTCTCAACAGTGGGTCGTGGCTTCGGGTACTTTCGTGGGTAGAGTGAGGATGTAATGGAGTATGAAATTTTGCTTTGAATGTATTTTTTGGTTATTTGGTTAAATCAAGTGTGGGGAAATTGGAAGGTTCTTTGAAACTGACCTGATGGGTGGGCAATGATGCGGCGCTGGCATTCTCCGGGCGAGTAAGGGGTGAGGGCTCTGCCAGCGGCGCGCGTGAGAAAGACGAGGGGATTTTGGTCTTCCACGGAGGCCCCTTTAAACTCCTGCGCCCTGTGCTGGGCTTGCCAAGTGAGCCGCGGAGCTAATGATCTCCCAGCTGACCGCGGCCGAGACTGGAGGCCGCCGGGAGCGATGGCAGTGAGCAATGCCGGATGACTCGGGCCTCCGACGGCAGGTGCGGTGGCCCAGGAGTCCCGGGATCCCCCAGGTTGGCATTGTGGCCCGAGGAGGCGCTCTCAGCGACACAGGGCGCTGGCAATTTTATGCTGAATTCATGAAAGCGGAGAAAGCAAACATTTCCAAAACAGCCAGTGAGGATGCGGGCTGCGGGGGACCCTACCGAGTGGCAGGACAGGACCTGTGACAAGGGCTTTGCCTCACACCAGGACCTTCCCTGCCGCACCCAGGCCTGGTCCCCGCCGACTTGCTCTTGAAGAGCCGCTGTCCAGGGCAGCTTGAGCTGAGGACGAGGGGGCTTTACCCCACAGGGACTCCTCTGGGAGCCTGCATTCTTCTCTAAGCCAGCCCCCAGCCCCGCCCTGTGCTTTTTGGAGGGGGAGGTCCGCCTGCCCCCAAGGCTGGAGGAGGAGTGGCGGGAGCCGTTGGCCTGGGTGAGTGTGGATGGCCCGCACGTGGGGAGCACCGGGGAGCCGGGCTGCGGAGCCAAGCAGGGCCGACCGGCTGGGGCTACCGCCGGGGTTCAGCCGCTTCCAGTCGGCAAGGACGTACTTGGGGCGCCCTCTATGGGTGAGAAACGGGATGGGGTCCTGATCGCAGGGAGATCTTGCTCCGGGGAATGGGGCAGGATTTGGGGGGGCGGCTGAACCTTGGGGTGCGAGCCTTAATTTGTGGTTGTGGGAGTTATGCTTCTGAGTGCCATTGATTCGCTTTCATGAGTTCGTGGGCCAGCTGGATGGGCAGTAGGTATTGGTGGGGAGGAAGTGGGTGCCAGGCTCTAGGCTGGCGTTTGCACTGTTCTGGGCGGGGCTTGCAAATTCAGAGAGGAGTTCCTCAACCGTTCTCGGTGCTAGGATTTCAGGGGTCACCGCAGTCCCCATTCCCCATTCCAGAGCTCCTCCCCATCCTGATGCTTGGCCAGCGAAAAGTGACCTTTTACAGAGCTTTGACCAGAGGTGCTCTGCTGCTCTGATGAGGGATTATGTTCTTGCCCCACAGATGGACCATTTGGCACCTGAAAGGCGCTGGGGGTATCCTGTTCTGGGAGATCAGACAGGGAAGCAGAGTTGTCTGCCCCTGGCTGGCCTCCACTCTGTTATTTCTCAGAATCCAATAGTACAGTCATGCAGGTATGAGCTGCTTGAACACCCCATATGTCAATTCTTTTTTTATTTCTAATAAGTACATTTGGGACCCCTGAATTCTGCCCTCCACCCCCAGATGGCTAGGCCATCATGTGCTCAGCAGCAGGGTTCCAAGCCTCAGAACCCCTGTGGCCTAGGAATCCTGAAGGGTCTGTTGTCCCCTCCTGGGGACTGAAGCTTCCCATGCAAACAAATCAGATGGCTAGTCTCAGAATTCTTTTCCTTGAGTGGAAAGCAATGAATTTTTAATGGAGCACTGAAAAGCATTTTTGTTCGTTGTGCACCATTTGTTTACATCTTAAACAGCCACCATAGCCACCCAAGTGTCTGCTTGACTTGGGTTGCTGTGCCACGGGGAGCCTGATCTTCACAGTTTCAGCCCCCAAGATACCTGGGAACCCCCTTTTCCTCTAAAACCAGAGTGGCAGTTCCTCAGGAACTTCCTAAGTGTGCAAAGGCACGTTCACAGCCCACCCTGCCCAGGAACGTTTTGGAGGGCAGAAGTTCTGTGACCAGCAAGCTCTGTAAACTTGAAAAAGGGATAAGGGTTGGAAATGTCCGTGGGATTGTTTGTGATTTGGGGCTCCTCTTCCCCTTGGAAACAGGTTCCTGGTAGAAAGGCTTTGAGTAGTCTTTTGGGTGGAAGGATAAGAAATCCAGTGGGAGACCTTCTTTCTGCTGCAGCCCAGGCCACGCAGAGGTGACAGGATGTGGTGTGAGGCAAAGCCCTTGTCACCCCCGCACTCCCAATCTAGTCTGACCTGCTGGTCTTTGAGGTCTCTGCTTCCACCGTTCTTCCTTCCCTCCTCAGGTCAATCATATTCACCAACACATTTACCTCACCTGCAATTTGAATATATCTCAGTTTTAGTGGTCTCACACTGATTAATACATGCCATGGCTCCAAGGGGCATACCTGGTGAATCATGCCCTATAAAGTTTCAGTTGGTCTTGTAGATAGGCCTCTGCTAGGGAGCTAGCAGGCCAGGGAGGGAGATGGGAGAGGAGACAGACTTCAGGGTGGCCATTTAGCCCAGGTGCCCTAGGAAGGGCACTGGCCCTCAACTCTGGCTTGGAGGGGCTGGCCGTGGCCCTTCTGTCCCAGATCCTCTCTTGGGGCAGGGACTGAGAGCCCAGACCTCCTCAGCCACTGTCTTTCCTGCCCTTCTGATGGCGAGAGCAGGCCAGAGGCTGCCTGGCTTTCCAAGCAAGGTTGGGGTGGGGCTGGGGTTGCCAGGTAGGTACCATGGATTTATGGATGCTGATTTGGAGAGATTGGAACCCCAAATAGCTGTCCTGAATCAATGTTACGGCCCAGTTTGCTAGTGAGAATGGGGTTTTGACCCTGGAGACCTGAAAATAAGGGTTAGAATGGAGGGAAGGAAGCCAAACCCAGGGGAGGTTGCTGGATGAGGGTTGGCTTGCTTGCTTTGGCATACAAATCAATTGGAATTTGGAGGCCTGAGGATCTTCTGTGCACCTCCTGTGTTGCATGGGTCACATCTCCCGATCCAGCATTGTGACATGAGTTAGCTGACTTTAAAGCCTCTGAGACTGGAAAGGGGAACCTGGGGTATGTGACACTGAGTACCTGCCTTATGATCCTGCAGCTCTCCAGACTCCAGCAGCAGCCTGGGGGAGAGGCCCGCCACATCTGGTGGCCCCAGCAGGATTCTGTGGTTCCAGATCAGGAAGACAAGGTGGGGGTGGGGTGGCGGGTAGATGTGGACCCTAGGTCTCAAATCCAGGGTGGGTGAACAGGAGACAGAGCTAGGAGGTAGAGGGGGTGTGCTTTGGGGTGAGGGTAGCCCCCACCTACCTCCAGGGGTCCCCAGGGCTAAAGAGCAGGCCCTCTGGGGAAATGTTTCCTTGGCTGGGGCTGCCCACAGGAGCGTGGATGGATGGCCCCAAGTTAAGCACTGTGCAGCAGTCTGTGCCACTCAGCCTGGAAGGAGGAGCTTCGGAAGGCCTTCTCCAGCACCCCTGCCCGGCCCCTGGGGCTAATTATAGCTGCAGAGCCGGAAGGCTGTGGAAGGGCATCGCCTGGGGACTGACGGCAGCCTTTGGTGCCCTGGCTACTGGAGCTGAATATAGATCCCCTTTCCCTTCCCAACAGGGGCATCTGGCTGGCAGTGGGCCCTTCTACGGCCAGCTCGGAGGGGACGCAGGAGCCAGACAAGTGGGCCAACCGTCACAGGGCCTGGTGCCCACAATACTTTTAGAGGCGGATGAAAATGTTTGCATTTCTTTTCTAATGAAAATTAAAAAGGAACTTAAGTTGAAGAAAATGTGCTAAATTATAAGAGCAACATATTCATTTTTTATTCCAATGCGTTCACAACATTTATATTTAAACATCTGTTTTCAATGGAGATAGAGACCCACCACTCACGAAAGTCACTAAGCAGCCCAGGTGGACATGGAGGGCCCTAAAATTCAGGATTTCCCTTAAATGGGAAGTCAGAGAAGCGAGGTGGCCCTGAGCAGAGGTGGGTGGTCGGCACCTGGGTGACATTTCCATCACAGTCCCGGTCTGTGGGCCTGACTCAGGCGCCAGTGGAGGATGCGCCCCCGAGACAGTGCACGGACCCGCCCCAGCAGGTGCGCACTGAAGGGTTGGTCGGACCCTGTTCCCTCGGGCTGGGAGCAAATGGCAGCCTCTTCTGTGCTCTGCTGTTTGGCTTCTGAAGGCGCCGTGGGTGTCTCTGATCCCCTAATCCATTTATCCGGCGTCCAAGCGCAATGAGCGGGTGTACCAGGGCCGGTGGCGGCCTGGCGGCCCCAGCCAGCCCTGCCCCGCGGCGCCCACCCGAGGCCCTGTCTGCTCTGCCCCTGCCGTGCTCCGAGCGCAGAGGTTGGAATGACGTGGGGAGTGTCAGTCTTCTAAACCGAAGGGCCTTTATTCCTGTTTTCTCTACCCAACTTTGCCTTTAGCACCCGGAGGGAGCCCCCAGATTTCTCCGCTGCATTCCCGCCTGGGTGGGGCGCCTGGAGAGGCAGCTTCTGCGCGACAAGGTCCCGGGGCGCCGCTGCCCCTGACGCCCGCGACGATCCCGCTGGTCACTGGGCGTCCCCTGCGTGTCTTACCTGT